AAAATACAAAAATTTAGCATTTGTTTTTCGTTATTTAGACTCCAAATCGAGAATTTAGGGAGAGTGAGAGGAGGAAGAAGAAGACGAAGCTTCGTTTTCACAGGTAAGCCTTTTGAAATCCTCCATTTCACAATCGCTCTCATCTCTACCTTTCCATGAGAATTGCTTTGGTTACAGCATCGGCCATTTTGCAGGAGCTGCTTTTGTAGAAGCCCCATGGCAAAAGCCGTCGAGTCGGATCCGGGTTCTGGGGGATCCGATGTACCACGACTGAGTCTTGACTCGATCAGGGAATCGTTGATTAGGCAAGAAGACACTATCGTCTTTAGCTTGATCGAGAGAGCTAAGTTTCCGCTCAATTCACCTGCATTCGAAGAATCTCGTTGTCTAGATTCTGGAAATTCCTCTTCTCTGACCGAATTTTTCGTCAGAGAGATTGAAATTCTTCAAGCTAAGGTTTCAATTCCCATTTAAACTGATCATTTCCCCTAAAAAATTGATGAAATGCATCGTTTGATTAAGGTTTGAATAAGCCTGGATTCTTGAACTAGCATTGCCTTTGTTTGGATCTGTATACTCTAAAGTTCATGAGCCTACATGTTTGTTGATTTGTTTACTTGAAAGACTCAATGTATGTGTGTGTATAGGTAGGAAGATACGAAAACCCGGAAGAGAATCCTTTCTTCCTTGAGAACATACCTCACTCGGTTTTTCCTACGCACAAATATCCACCGGTATGTAGTGAATTCTTAACCTTTGAACTCTTATCCTTAAATAACTAGATCTTTGAAGATTGGTAAGGAGCTTACAATTCTTATCTCTTTATTAGATTCTGCACACTAAGGCTGTATCCGTTAACATAAACAAACGCATTTGGGATGTTTACTTTAAAGAATTGCTTCCTTTGTTGGTTAAACCTGGTGATGACGGCGACTATCCATCAACTGCCGCTAGTGATCTCGCGTGTTTACAAGTAAGGAGGATCATTGAATACATAAAATCAGGTCTAATACATGATGTGGTTTATGTCTGATTTGATGTTTGATCTTGTGTAAGGCTCTTTCGAGAAGGATTCACTACGGTAAATTTGTTGCTGAGGTCAAGTTCAGAGATGCTCCACAAGATTACGAGCCTGCCATTCGAGCTCAGGTAGAAATATAGTGTCACAATGGGGATTCTGTTTCTCTATTGTTTTGCTACGAAATGACCAGTCCAAAATGTTGGGTTTCTGAAAAACATAGGATAAAGAGGCTTTGATGAAGCTATTGACGTTTGAGAAAGTAGAAGAAATGGTTAAGAGGAGAGTGCAGAAGAAAGCAGAAACGTTTGGACAAGAAGTAAAGTGTGTCTCTGGTGATGAGAAGAATTACAAAGTGGATCCATTGCTTGTCTCTCGCATCTATGGAGAATGGCTTATCCCTCTCACCAAGGTCGTCGAGGTCGAGTATCTTCTACGTCGTCTCGATTGAATCTGGGACCTGAAAACATGACTTAATAGAAATCAAAACATTGTGAAAATAAAGCAAACTACAGGATGATAAGTCCATTGTCTTGTCCACAAACTCTTACAATCCTAAGTTCCTAACTCCAAGCCTCCAAAATATTATAGGACCCGGTCGGGTTCATACTAGACCGGGCTGGTCTAAGAGATGTTCAATCCTGATAGACCAAACTGACGACGATATCCGGATTCATATTATTGAAAACAGAGAGCCGAAATCCGGATTAAACAATTGTCAACAAGGCAAATAAAATTATTCAGTTGTACCAAAAACTGGACTGGGCCTTAGATCTAAGTTTACGAGTGGGCCTATTGATAATGTCTGGATATGAGAGAATAATTGAATGAACAGTCATCACTGTTTTTAAGATTTTCCGAAAAAGTCGCCACCATTTCACTATCGAAAAAGGTTATTTATATATTTCATGACGACAAAAAAAATAATTATATATTTTGATGATTATCCATTAGAAACCCTTCAAACTCTCCACTCAACTCTCGTCGTCGTCACTTGTCTCTTGCTTCTACTTTAGGGTTCTCAAAGCTTCCATCTCCGATCTGTGTGTTTTTCATCTCTAAGCTCAGGTCACAGATCTCTCCTTCTTCACTAATCTTTACGCCTTTTTTCAGATCATTGTCTATTTCGACCTAGTTTGATTAGATTCGTCTTTGACCTTTTTTGACTTTGATGTTTGATGATTGTATTGTTTCCGTTTTTTAGATCTCATTTTCAGTAGTAGTATTGCTTCTTTCTGATNATGATTGATTTGATTCCGTTAGGGAAAGATGCAAGCTGTGATTCGTTCGTTTGTCTCCGGTGGAAATGTGGTGAAAGCTTCCATGCTGCAACATCTCCGTGTGATTAACCCGGCGATTCAGCCTTCTGTGTTTACTTCACGATCCGAAACCACTCAATCTGCTCGTATGGAAGAACATGGATTCGAGAGCACGACCATTTCTGATATCATGAAAGCTAAAGGCAAAAGTGCTGATGGATCTTGGCTTTGGTGTACGACTGATGATACTGTTTACGATGCTGTTAAATCCGTATGTAATCCATATCGCTCGCTCTCTCGCTTTGCCTTTCGATATCGTTATCTCGTCGGTGATTGATTTGTTTTAGATGTGATTGCTTTTGGTTTAGATGACACAACACAATGTTGGTGCCTTGGTGGTTGTGAAGCCTGGTGAGCAACAATCACTTGCTGGAATCATTACAGAGAGAGGTAAAAAACCGAATGTTCGATTTTTGTATCGAATCTGACCCTTGAAGGGAAGTTTTTGTTGTGGATGATTCATTGTAATTTCTTCAGATTATCTGCGGAAGATCATTGTGCAGGGGAAATCCTCCAAATCAACAAAAGTTGGGGACATTATGACTGAGGAGGTATGAGATTGTTAGTGATGAGAATGTACGATTATATGTTTTTCTTGCGGTTTTTGTAAAACTGAGTGGATTTGTGAATTGGCAATTGCAGAACAAGCTTATCACTGTGACACCGGAGACAAAGGTCTTGCAGGCTATGCAACTGATGACAGGTGAGCAGAAAACTTATTACTTTCTCCATTTAAGATACAAACTTTTGGGTTTAAAACCTACTGAGGCAAGTAACAAAACCGGTTTGTGACCGCGTGCAATGTACAGAGAAGCGAATCAGGCATATTCCGGTAATCAAAGATAAGGGAATGGTGGGAATGGTGTCCATAGGAGACGTGGTCCGTGCGGTGGTGACTGAGCATCGAGAGGAGCTTAACCGTCTTAATGCGTTTATTCAGGGAGGTTACTAGATCTTTGAAGATTGGTAAGGAAAAGAGTTCCCTTTTGTCTCTGGTCTAGTTCTGATGAATCTCAAAAGCTTGAAGATGAATGTAAATATGCAGTCTTCC